GGTATAAATGGTGGTGGTCCATCTGTATCATCAACAAATTCTGATAATGTATCACCAAATGCTGATGATGCTTGATTGTTATGTGCATGAGGATCAATATTACCAACTTGATTATTATTATTATTATTTGGTTCATTTGTTTGAGTATTTTCCCAATTTTCATTTGGATTATTTCCACTTGTTTGCCAATCTTTTTGTGTTAAACCAGGTGGTCCAAACATGGATGATGATGATTGTGGTCCTCGTGTTGATGTTTGTTGTTTTGTCCATTGATGTAAACGTGATTGATCAACATTTAATGAATGTTGCATACGTTCAGCTAATTGATCTTGAGATTGTGTTGATGATACACCAGGTGGTGGTTGAGTTTGAGTGACTGGACCATTTGACATCATTTGTGTTGGTGTTGGTGTTGGTGCAGCTGATTGTTGTTGTATAAGTTTAGCATGTGCATCTTGAATTTGTTTTTGTACAGCTAACATTTCTTGTTTTTTTTGTGTTATTAATTTTGATAAACGTTCATATTCAGTTTGAAAAAATGTTATTGGAAAACGTTGTTTATGTTTAGAAAAATCTGATAATTGAATCGATAATGATTGATATTTTTGTTGAAGTTCAAATAATTTTTGAAGAAGCTTTAATAAACAAAAAAGAACACATTAATGAAAAAAAATTCATATATATATATATATATGTATTTACTTGTAACATATATGGTGGTAATTTAGTATTGAGCAAATCTTGACTAATCAAACCGGCTTGTACAGCAAGACGAAATTGTTGCATAATTTGAGCATGTACTGCACCATTATTCACAGGTCCTGTTCCTGGTGGTTGTTGTTGAGATGTTGGCGTTTGAGATGATTGTGTTGGGATATTACTTTGTTTAGCTGCTAATGGAACGTATGGTGCTTGATTTGGTACAGGTGATGTTGTTGATAATTTTGGTGATATAAGACTACCAGTACCCATGATAGCACCGGATGGTGTTGGAATACTATTTGGATTCATTGGTCGTAGAATACTATTTGGTTGATAAAGTGGACCAGGTCGTGGAGCAAATGGAAGTTGAGATGGTGGTAACATATGATGTGGTTGAGGATTACCCGACGAAGGTAATAAACCACCAAGACCAATAATTGGATTTTTAAGATCCGAACCTTGTCGATATAGATCAGCCATTGATTGACTTTCATAACCAGTCATACGATGTAAAGCATGAGGATCATGTGCATTTTCACTGAGATCATAATCATTCATAAATCGATTTCGATTCATTGGTGGCATTCCTAATGGTCCACCCATACCACCACTAGCACCTCCTTGTACTCCCCAACTACTAGTATCAACTTGACCTTCATATGGATCAAATGGAACTTTACTTTGTGAGCCCTAGAAAAAAAAGTAAATCATACAATGATTTATATAGAGAAAAAAAGCTGTTAGTTTAGTCCCGGTGAGATTTAAATGTGAAACACGTTGCAGTTGATGTTGTTTAACATCGCAATATTGTTTTATTCAATTTATTACGGGAAACATTTCTTTTTCATTCTTTTACTTAAACCGTCAGAAATGTTATACAGAAGTAGTTCATATGTATGAACGAAATGTTTCTAATGTCTGTCGAGAGGAATAAAAGATTCAAATGTCTACTTCTATACTTTAACATTCATTTTATATTATGCTTCATAAAAAGGCAAAAGATTATTTCATTGAAATATTTACTTGTAGACCCCAATCACTTGTATCGACTACACCATCACGAAACCAATCATCTGAACCATGATGAGTTGATTGTTGAGATTGAGCATGCCAATTATTTGGTGGTGGTGGTTGTTGTGTACGATAATTTACTGTTTGTGATGTTGGTGGTGGAGTTCCTTGGTCGACTGATGTTGATGTATCATTCCATTGTGATGTTGATTGTTGTGGTAATGTAGGTGATTGTTGTTTAGTCCAATTTTCATCATTAAGCACCATTTGTGATGTAGATGTTGTTGGATTCGAAGTTGGCATATTTGTTGAAACTGGTTTTTGAACAATTGATGGTTGCTGTGGTAAAATAATATTTGTTGAATTTGTTAATGCTGCTTTTGTTCCATTAGTCCATTTTTTAACTGGTATTGATATTAAATCCATTGGATCACCCCATATTGATGTACCATCATCAAAATTTGCACGTTTTGTTACTTTGATATCAGGTTCATCCCAACCTAATTGTTCAACAAGTTTAGGTTGTGGTACATAAACCACAGTTGGATCTGTAGTTCCACTTAGAAGATCAACATTTGCACCACCAAGAGCTATAGCTGACTTCAGTGCACCACTGAGTGAAGCAGCCATTGATGATGATGATGATGATTTATGTTTATTAATTATTGAACTATTGCTACTACCTGTTGTCAATGTAAGCGTGTCATTAGCATTACCCGACATTGATGGATCTTGCCATGTTGTCGATGCACTAGAAAAAAAATAGTAAAACAATTAAAATAGAATTGTACTCTTTTGAAAAACTCCTTTTACCTATTATTATTCATATTGTCGTTATTATTTTGAGGTAAATTAAATGGAACATTAGTTGATGAATTATTTCCATAAAAATTGTTCATTTCCGGCCATTGATTACTTGTTGTATTGCTATTTCCAACTGTATTTGATCTGGACGGATTATTAAGTGTTTGCTGTTGTTGTTGTTGCTGTTGAAAATTTGACCAACCATTAGCAGCTGAATTATTTGTTGTCACCGGCTTACCCCAATCAGGTGTTGGACTGGATGATTCAAGTCGATCAAAACCTAAAGTTTTACCAAAAAAAACCATCAAATATCGTTTTTTTTCTTAAACATAGCAAGAAGAAAAATAAGAATCAAACAAAATAAAAACAAAGAATAAAAGAAACGTGCACAAATATAAAGAATAGAAAAAGCAGAATAGTGCTCATACCATCCCCACCACCTGGTGTATTGTGATTAGAATCAACTGATTGTTGTGATGAAGAACCAGCGATATTTGAATGTCGTTGTGCATCATCATCAATCATCCATGATGATGTTTGATTAAAATTTAAAGACCAATTCATTTGAGATTGTTGCTGTTGTTGTTCATAAAAATTTGGTATAAAACCAGTACGTGATCCTGGAAAATTAAATGTACCACTGTTTGAAGGTGTTACTTGAGATGATGAAATGCTTGTGGTCGTTGATGTTATACCCGATGAACCGGATGTATGTGCACCTCCTCCTCCTGTTCCTCCTACTCCAGCAGAAGTCAGTGTTGTTGATTGTTGAGACGATGGTGATGAAGATGAAAGTGAATTACCAACAGGAATTCCACCACCACCACTACTACTATTATTCCCTGTTGTACATGCTGTAGCAGCAGTATTTGCTGTTACTGTTGTTGATGATGCAGACGTATTCGATGAGGTATTTGGATTTGAATTGAGAATTTGTGCCCAAGTTGGCTTTGATGGTGAGGGATAAGGCGAAGGTCCACTAACACCAGCAGTATTACTACCACCACCGCCTATTTACAGATAGCAGAAGAAGAATAACAAGACAATAATGAATGAGGTTTTTTTTTTCTTTTTACAAAATCAAAATCCAATGAAAAGAAAAAAGAGAAAAAAAGCAAGCAACGTGCAGTTTTTGTTTTAAATACAACACAATAGATAAATAAATAAATAAATAAATAAATAAAAATAAACATCTTACCGAATAATGATGAAGACGAAGAGCCTGTCGGAGATGGATGGCTCTCGTTACTCATCGTCACAGACACTTACTAGATACTTGTGTGTGTGTGACGTTTAAAAAAAAAAGACAAGATCTAGAGAAAAAAAATCGTTCTAATAACAAAAGATTTATATCGTCTATTCGTAAACAATAAACCATGGATATAGAGATAGAATAGAAATTCTATTTTTTTTCCTTCTTCTCATGACTAGTAGCAGCCATGCTTGATGAACCGTTTAGAAGGAAACAAAGAATGTCGTATGTGTATGTGTGTGTAGTTTTTTTTTTTATCAAAATGCATTGATGATTCAGTTCGACAACGAAGATATTATAACGAACGACATCTATTACGAGTAGATATTTTTTTTAATATATTCTATGAATTCTTAATAATTCAAATTTTTTTATTAAATTATTTGTTATGTTTGATTTTTTTCGATGAAATATTCTATGAAATTTTATCAAGGACAAGAACTAACGGTATCTATAAAGAAATTCTGTTACTGATCCTTGTCATCTCTGTCAAAGATAAACACAATTGTTTTTTTTCATAGAAAGCAATAAAACAAAAAAGAAAAAAGAAAAAAGAAAAAGAATCATTCATAGGAGAACAAAAAATACGACAGAATATTACGTACGGATAAATGAAATTAAGAATGTAGTTTTTGCGAAATCTATTTTTTTTGTATTTTATTAATTGATCTGATAAAGTCCATAGGTGAGCATAAAAACAGCTATCTAGACTTATCTCTCTCTTCTTTTCTTAATAGAATGACAAAATTTTATTCTTTTTTCTTTAGAAAAATATTATTCAAAACTCAAGAAAGTCAAGTAAATGATTGAAAAATTATCCATTGTTTGTCTACTTACATATTCAAATGAAACCAATGCTTAACGAATTTTTGAATCTTGTTGAACACTTCAAGTAAAAATGATTATTATTATTATTATTAACTTGTCTGTTAGAATGGACACTTTCGTATGTCGAAGTACAATGAAAAATGCTAAGTATACAATAATACTTTGGTTTAATAATACATCAACATATTTATGGGTAAAGCAATCGAATGATGGACAATATTAATTTGATTTTGAGCCAAATATATATTTTCAAATGGCATTCAGATTAAAAATCTTTTTTTTTTTTTCTAAATAATGTTTTTTGACTATTTAGAAAATTTAAACAGTAAAAGAGTTAATTGAACAATGCCAAAGTTTTGTTAAAATTAAATTAAATTTTATATTGTTTTCTTTAAGATAAGTGATGACTACAGAAGTTAATGCAGATCCATATTTTGATGATGAAGATGTAAGTTTTTCATATTTAAAACGAAAAGAACATAGATTTAAAACTCTTACAGGAAGAAAACGAAGGTATATATGCTATTATTTTGCTCTTGCATTCTATTGCTTATAAAGCTTCTTTTCATTTTGTAGAAATTTATCGACAGTTATTAAGAAAACGTGGTAAATATTATACTGATGAATTTTGATTAACTTAATTGATTTTAATATTTAGATACACTACCACCTTGTGATCCTACAACTGTATGCTGCTCTTCTTTTACATAAGAATTTCGTTGATAGAGTTTGTTTAGTTACCATTCTCTTCAATTTCTCAACCACGTATTTTGTGTTCGAGAGAAGAAGCAGAAACTATTCTAAAGACAACGGCTGGTGTTCGGGTATGAGATATCGATGAGTTTTTATTTAAGTTTTCATTTTTTCTGTTAGCCTGGAAATTTTATAGTTCGTCCAAGTGCTCATGTCAAACATCCATATTCATTGTCTCTGTTGTGTACGGATTATAATATATATCATTTTCAAATTTGTCAAATATCAAATAAATACACCTTAGCATCTCTTGAAACAATGAATATGTTAACAACACAAGTAACAAAAATGCAAAAACTTATTATCAATAATGTTACGATTTATTTTTCTTTATCTTCAGACATTTTGTTCATTATCTTCATTTCTTGAATATTATTTAACAAATCCAATTAAATTTCAAGATAATAATGATAAAAAACATTCAATTATTTTACAATTATATTCAATTAATGCAGTAACACGATTATAAAAACTAATAACAAAAAAAATATCTATTAAATGAATCCTATTCTTTTTATTTATCATTACACCTACACTTAATCTCTTTTTTCTTGACGAACGAAAAACAAACGAATTCGTATAAATATTTTTGTCTTTCACCCACCTTGATAAAATTTATCTTATACATTTAAATACATAGATCGATGAACGTCAAGTAAATAAAATAAAATCTACATGTTTGTTGATCATATAGACGCCTACCTATGACATCATCGTAATTTATCTTATTCGTATTTTTCCTTATTATTATTCATCTTGCTCTCATCATTTGGTTAGGTATATATAACGTCACTATTATACTTTGATTTAAGAGTAAGGGAAAAAGAATGAGAGACACTTGAAAATCGTTTACTTATTCCTTGTTCGTAATAGAACAAAAAGAAAGAAATTGAATGCATAAAAAGGATTTACTATGTGTTTTTTGTTTTCTTTGTTTTTAGATGGTTATTTATCAGTACCATCAACATAGTTTTACATTCTTCTTGTTTCATTTCAAAGTAAGCTTATGTTTTTGATATATCCTTGAATATATATACATATATATAAATAAGTAAATATTTAAAGCATATTGTATCTATTCGCTTATTCACCGCCTACTGTGTAATCAGTAAGCAATAATAACATAGAGTATTGTGAGTTCGTCGGTCCGTTCAAATATATCCAGATGTGTATTAAATGGGTAGTGTATACAATGTATGTCTCGGATGAATGATAGATCAATTGAAGGGCTTCCGCTTTTTTTTTTTCGTACAGTCGACAACGACAATAAGTTTATCCTTGACATTATATGAAATATGTATGCGATTATCAAGGTGATTACCTTGATCGGAATTTGATGATACGTTGCGTTCTCTTTATTATTTTGCATGTTATTATTATGATTTAAGGATTTTTGTATCCGAGAATAGTATTAGAAAAAAGTAAAACAATAGGTTACATGATCGGTTGTCTTTTTTTTAATACAATATCGCAAAAAAAAACAAAAAGGTATATTTTTCTAATTACGAAACTGCGAAATTTAGACCTGTCAATCTATTTCTCTAAGTACCGTGTAAATCGATCGGTAATGTTTCTTCTCACGTGTTGTCTTCTCCCTTGAAATCGAAGAATAATAGAACAGTGCTACAGGGAAGAAGAGAGAGACGAAGAAAGGGTGAACGAACATGTGACTCAGTTAACGATTGGTGAAAGCTAACAGAACAGAAGTCTATCGTGTGTTCAACATTAGTGTCTGTACAGAGACTTGTGAATAGAGAAGAAGACGAGAGAGAAAGAAGTGAAAAAAAAAAGAAGAATGCAAGAATAGAGAAACGAAAGAAATATAATTGCAGAGCAGTTACAACTACTACGACGAATACAACTTATACAAGCAAACGAGAAGGACAGGAGGAAATAGAAGAATAGATCACATAGAGTAAGTTCAAAATACAAAGCAATGTGTTTATACACACGTATATCAATCTATGTATATATATGTGTATGACCTTTGCTACTGGCAAAATAATTCGTAATAATTATAGATAGATGATTCAACATTTTGCATATATTTACTCTGAGTAAACATGCATACATTACTTTTAACTTATTCATTCATTCATTCATTCATTTATTGATTCATATATATATGTCTTTCAATATTGTTTTTCTTTCTAGTTAGTGATTATTAATTGATTGAAATAATGCTCAATACGAGTAACGTTGCACATTCAATACTTGCTGAAGAAGTTGACAATTGCAATAGTAATAATAATAATAACAATAGTCTATTGCTCAATGATCTATCATTTCATAATGATGATATCATCACAAATGGATCAATACATTATGGAGTTTATGATACCACTGTCTTTGATGTACTCAAAGTTGATCCTGAAGATTTTGCTGTAAATATTTATATTTGATTTTTTTTACAATTTATCTTAACAAGAAAAAGATATCTCATGTTAACAACTATAAATATTGTAGATGAAACCTTCTATATTGTTGACAAACGATTGATGGAGTAAACTTTAGTACATACATACATAATCCTCTATTCTCATTTATCGTACATAGTGTTATCTTTATCGTTGAATACTAACATCATATGTTATGATGTTGAGAAGAAACGAGAGAAATAAAGAAGATAAGTTCGTCTTATTGATGATGAACGAATGTGATCTATCGTTAAAAAGTAAACTAAGATGTTGCATCAAAGAAAAGAAACAGCGAGTGAGAGAGAGAGAGAGATAAGAAATTCCTTTTCTTTTTGATTGATATTCCTCATGGGAAATATACATTGAAATTTTTATATATTGAACATTTGCTCATTCACAATTGTTGATTAAAAAAAGCAGTTGATTATCAAAATAATTTTTTTTTTTCATTTGTTTTAGTCACAAATCACATTAATGGATCTTCCAGTATTTAAAGCTATAACGCCAGATGTATGCTATTTAAATTTAATGAATACAGAATATAATCTTTGTTGTTTTGCTTTTTTACTTTACAGGAACTAACTAGTTGTAGTTGGAGTTCAAAAGCTAAACTTGAAAAAGCCTTTCATATTGTTCAATTTACACGTCGATTCAATCAAGTTTGTTATTTAATTGTCAAAATCTTTTATTTTATATTCTCAATTATTGTTTTTCATTATAGGTTAATTTTTGGGTTCAAGGTGAACTTTTACGTGCTGATATACTTAAAAATCGTACTGAAATCTTATCACATTTTATTCGAGTTGCTAAAGTAAAATTTTTTGTTTGTTTTTTATTTTCTTTTCTAAACTTTAAAAATATCCATTCTTCTTTTTTTTTTAATGTAGAAACTTTATGAATTTAATAATATTAATGCATGTATGGCTGTTGTTATGGCTTTACAAAGTGCTCCTATTTATCGATTACAAAGAACTTGGGCGGTAAAAAAAAAACAAGAAAACAATTAAACAATATATTTATTTTAAATATTTGTTTTTTTTTTTTTGTAATTTTAGGGTCTGAGTAAACGTGATCGTACAACATTTTCAAATTT